ATAGATAGATAGATAGATAGATAGATAGATAGATAGATAGATAGATAGATAGATATGTTCCCCCAGTTCTCTTGACATTGTATATTCTAATACCCGACAAGTTAAGCCAGAGAATTTAGAGGACTTCCTTTTTCCAACAGCTTTTCGTCGCAAGTGGAACTGACGTTGTAGAAAGCCATGCAAGGAACCCAATGTCCTCTAATTATATTTTTTAAGGGTGGACGACACTAGAAAAAGGGGGTTCTTTACAGAAGAGAATTAGATTTCAACGACCCAAAAAATTTCGTTGCAGATTATTTGATGATGTCATGGGAATGAATGTGTTGTCACCTGATGTCATGATAAATTGAGTAATTGACTACACCTCCTCGTGCGGATGTGTAGATTTATCGTTCTTGCCTTGTGCACACCAAGAATAGGTTGTTGTAATTGATAGGTATACCTTGTACCATGTTGTATTATATACATGATGGTCTTGATGATTCCTGCCTGCTAGAAGCACTTGGGAGAATAGGCATATTGTTTATTACACATTTTTGCTAAAATAAATGTGTCTTTAGTAATTGATTTTGACATCAGCATGACTTAGATTTACGTAAATTTAAATCAATCAGGTGGTGGGCTGGCTTCCTCCAACAAGTATGCCCCGGCCAACCGGAGCCGAGGGTGATGTGTAATGTTTCCCTAGAAAGACCGAGATACACGATACAAATTCTGCCCACTGGAAACCACACTGGCACCTTTTTCGTACGACGGCAAATTCCCAAACTACTACACATCAGAGGCAGGTTACCGAGCAAGATGATCACACTCTTGGTTTTAGAGGGCTTGAACTTCTACGTATATCCAATACACACTTCAGAAAATTTGGTCTAATCTCCATTTGCTATAATTTGATACAACTGAGAGAACCTACATTTCATTACACGGATGGGCAAAGGATAACATATTCGCACAATTAACAATCCACCATCATCGTCATCATCACCATCATCATCATCATCATCATCATCATCATCATCATCATCATCATCATCATCATCGCATCATCATCATCATCAGCAGCAGCAGCATAGTCATCATCATTATTTTCCCCAACTAAACAATTCCCCTTTTTCTTATTGTGCCTTTCTTGTTTCTTTTTTCATGAAACATAAGAATGTACACCATGTCAATTCATTTTTACGTAACCTACAAATATCGTCACCAAAATCAGGACAACAAAAAGCACAAAAAAATGAGATCTTGGACAAATAAGAGGGAAATGCATCGACACGATACGTTTCTGGGAGCATCCGACCAGACAAACGAGTGACAAACATGATCATCGATTACTGCTTTTGGCACTTAATGATGTTGGTGATGAAGATGACACGAGATGCTTTCAAAGCGTTAGTTATGTACTAGTCAAATTTGTCTGTGTATAGTTATATAATTGGTTATCTAACACTATAGCCTGCTAAGGGCAACAGACAGTACCTTGGTTATTGAGATATGCGGGGCAGCGTGGTGGAATCAGGCTCTCGTCAATTTTTGGGCATGTAAAGTTATTGGTATCATCTTAAAGCTTGTTCATTTGTCTTTATTAGGGTGAAAAAAATCTCCATTTATCTTGAACACAACTCGAGATATATGCGAATGAAGGGGGTGAGGTCACCTATTATCAGAGGTAAGATTAGTGAGAAAATAGCCGCCAAAGATGAGTTATTTCCTTAGCTTATGAGTCCGTGGTAACTGAAATGTTACATTTGTTGTGCCTTTAATCAACGTTTTTCTGAAAAATACATACAGAAATGGATTCTTTAATGGGCATGACAGGTGTTGAGTCAAAAAACAAAAATTTGAAATAAATTCACAATCCTGTGGAAAAATGCAGGTTTCTTCATTTTGACTATTTTGACGAGAGCCTGATTCCACCACGCTGCCTCACATATTTCACATGTTTGGAGTCAGGCGCATAGGCTTGTTTGTGGCACCCACTCGTTGGCAGTTGTTAGAGGGTTGTTGTTATAACAGGTTTGTTTCTAGATCAGGCGCATAGGCTTGTTTGTGGCACCCACTCGTTGGCAGTTGTTAGAGGGTTGTTGTTATAACAGGTTTGTTTCTAGATCAGGCGCATAGGCTTGTTTGTGGCACCCACTCGTTGGCAGTTGTTA